AAGGCCATTCTGTATAGAAAGTGGGTAAAAAAAAAATACCTATTAATATTTATAAAACAATTTTCACCATCAAAAGCACATTGTTACATGCTTGATAGATTATACGAATGAATTTTCCTTCTGAAAAAATATCAAAGAAAGCTGTGGTACTTATATGCATAGGGTGTTTGTTGTTTTGTTTAGTGGTGTGAGATTCTGTGAGCTGCTAATTCAACAATCTCGATGGAAAACATGACTGGCAGTTTGAGGCCTCTGACCCTGGAATTTTAACAGAGGAATGTGTCACAGAATCAAACAAAAGAAAAATACATTTCAGAGGGGAAACTTACACATAAAAGAAGCATAAAAACAGCAGGAAATAAGACTGTCATAATTAGTTTGAAAAATAATCTGTCTTCAAGCAATGTACTATGTTTGATTTGTGATAAATACCCATAATGTGCTATTGAAACACGCTTTGCCAAAATGGCCTTAAAACGCTGATACTTTCAAATTAGTCCCACTTTCCATTAAATATTGATGTTCTGAGAGTTGTATACTTTCTAGAACTTTTTTTTAGTGACTGTGAAAAGAGAAAATAGATATGGGGTGGGTAGGGGGGTTGGGGGAGGTAAAGAACTGAAAATGTTCTTGAAAATAGAGTCTTGTGTATAAAGAGAGAAACAGAGAAACACCCACCAACAACATGGGCACTTGCTAACAAGAAGCAACAGGGTGGTTATTTAGGGAAATCAATCTGAAGAAAGAAAGGAATTTGATGTGCCAGTTAACTATGGATAACCCGGCTTTAATTCTCATGGAATCTTAGCCAGATAGTCACCGCTTCAAACTGGATCTCATTCCTTTGGCTCGGTGAATGAATTTCAGCTCCCAACTGATAAAGATGCCCTAATGTAGGAATTCTTAACCTCTAGACTATGGACAGATGAGGTGAGGTCATTCTCTGTGGACAGGGACCATCTGTTTAGCGTCATACATGCAGGTAGCACAGCCTCCAAGTTGTGACAACTAAAAATGTTCCCTGGGGGACAAAATGCCCAACCTTCCTACGGAGTACAACGTGCTTTAAAGACATCAGAGAAAGGAGTCTGTGTACAGATAGAGCTGGCTGAAGGTAGGAAGAAATCCCCGATTCTCTTCGGGCCTTACACCAGTTCATACCTTAAGATTTCCCTGTTATAGGAATAAAGTAACTTTTTAACAAAAACAAAGCTAATATAGGTTTCTGTCATTAGCAACCATTATAATCCTTGGCTAACAGTTACTAAACTATATTGCAGTTAGTAGTCTCAAATTATATTTTTCGAATCAGATTATTAATCTTACATGAATAAAGAGTTCCTGGACTACAGTTCTTTCTCTATGTCAAAAATTCCCTATGAGTGACTTAGCAGCATAGATGTTATCAAGGCCACTGTTCTTCACACAACATTACTTGTTATACAAATATGTGAATGATAACCTGAATTCTAAAAAATAGCACTCACTGACCAATGGTAGGCCAAAAAAATTTTCCTAAAAAGAGGTGGTACAGGCTGGGTACAGTGGCTCACACCTGTAATCCCAGCACTTTGGGAGGCCAAGGCGGGCAGATCACCTGAGGTCAGGGTTCAAGACCAGCTTGGTCAATGTGGTGAAACCTCGTCTCTACTAAAAATACAAAAATTAGCTGCAGTGGTGGGTGCCTGTAATCCCAGATACTCTGGAGGCTGAGACAGGAGAATCGCTTGAACTCAGGAGGCAGCAGGTGCAGTGAGCTGAGATTGCACCATTGCACCCCAGCCTGGATGACAGAGTGAGACCCTGTCTCAAAAACAACAACAAAAAGGTGGTACAATGTGATGCTGGGCTCCTTAAACTTCTAAATTTAAGAATAATTATTAAATCAAAGTTTCAATATGGAAATTTTAATGGGAAATGTTCTACCACTACTGATGTAAACATAAATAACAAATACTCAGATTATAAATATTAAAATTATCAATATTGCTAAAATATAAATGACTGCTTCTACAGTTTCTAAATAAAAGATAGCTTTAGGGGACTGTGATAATGATGAAGATCAATTTGTACATTTGGTCATTAATCACCATTTCCTAACTGGGTTTAATTTGACTACTGCTCATTAGAGTTATAAACCAACATACTCATTTAATTGTGATTATAATTCAATTGCTGAACTTTTATGGTACAATGAACAAATTAATAGCTAAAGATAATTCTGCTCTTTAAAATAACACATAAGACACGTTTTAATGAACTGTATATAAAAAATGTTTTATGATGATTCCCTTTAAAAAAAAAATCTCAAGACTCTTGCATTCTCTTAATAATTAAAAATAAAACTTCAGACTCACAACATTTTATAAATACCCTCTAAAAAATGGTTCCCAGCCAGGCACGGTGGCTCATGCCTGTAATCCCAGTACTTTGATTATCTGGCCCAGGCAGGCAGATTATGAGGTCAGGAGATCGAGACCACCCTGGCTAATCGGGTGAAACCCCATCTCTACTAAACACACACACACACACACACACACACACACACACACACACACACACACACAAATTAGCTGGGCATGCCAGTAGTCCTAGGTACTCAGGAGGCTGAGGTCAGAGAATAGCTTGAAGATGGGAGAATCACTTGAACTCAGAAGGTAGAGTTTGCAGTGAGCCAAGATTGAGCCACTGCACTCCAGCCTGCTGATGCCTTGTGACAAAGCAAGACTCTGTCTCAAAAAAAAAAAAAAAGAAAAAAAGAAAAAAGAAAAAAGAAAAAAGAAAAAAAGGAAAAGAAAAAAAAATAAAGAAAAGGTACCCACACCTTTGTTCCCTGCAGTCAAAACATAGCCTGTGACTGCTTCCCAAAGGGATGAATAAAAATTTTGTATTGCAGCCATTTTTATCCCACTTCATAGCTATAACTGAATTTACATTTTTCTTAATACGAAGCAACTAGGCTGCTTGTGTATACTAGTTTAAAGGTAATACATGACCTTTAAGAACTTGTGTTAAACCTTCTCCTTCATTTCTTAGATTTAATTATCAAAATGAATTTTGACTGTTATTCCCTGACAAACTGGAGACTACTCCTAGGTCACGTTCATGAAAGCAAGTAATTAGTTTAAATGAGAAAAAGTAGAAAAGGCAGGTTGCTACAGTTGAGTCTGGAGTATCAGAATGAACATGCAAGCTGGACTCAAGAGTGACACGGGTTCAAATCCCAGTTTCTGTAACTAGCGGCCCCTGGGAGAGTCACACTGGTTTTTCAATCCTCTAAAAAATAGGGATAACTACTTTTTCAGGGTTGTGGTAAAGAATATGAAAGAATGTATGTATAAGTTTATCACAGTGCCTGGCATATAAGCTCAAAAAACAGCATCTTCCCCTTCCTTTCTTCTCTTTATGAAATATTCATGATTTTATAGCGATAGCGATTTTAAAAAAAATTTATGAATACAGGTAACTTGTTTATAAACAACCAAGTTCAGATTTCTATCAGATGGCCATTTGTAGAAATCATGAAATACATTATTTTCAATGGCATCCTAAACATAAAGTCTTTGCTTGCTCTTGTCTGAAATCTATACCTTTCCTGGGCTACTCTGAGACTACCTGAGAAGAGGAATTCCATTTTATCAATGTTAAAGACTAGCCTATTTTGTATCTGACACTGCATGCATACTCATATACGATCTCATCTTATTTTCACAACACTCTATGAGCTAGGCATCATTTTCACCACTTACTTGATTAAAACAAAAAAAAGACCTGAAACTTAGGTAGGCTAAGTAACATGCCTAGATCCGTAGCCAAAACATGGCAGATACAGAATTTATGTTTAGGCCTCTCTGGATTCCAAGGAAATGATAATGTAGCTTCTCTGAGTCTAGCTACAGAATCTCTGAAATGTGCTAAGAAGAAAATATTGTCTCATCCACCTTGCCTCAAAAGTTGATGTGTTTACACATAATGATACACCCCATTTACCAATTCAATGCAAAGTCCTACTTACTGACTGTAACATGCTAAACAACACGCAATACAATGGAGGTAAAATGTACTAAAAAAGAAGGGGTTCATGGAGCTTATAGTCTATCCTACTCACCTGCTATTTCACTCTTTTGATAGCAAAAGCTTGTGAATGTGTGTGAGGAACCCCACCTTTCCCCCACCACACACATACATTCAAGCTTTTGCTATCAAATTAATAAGAACATATAGAACATTTGCTGTATGCAAGAAACAGTGCAGTCATCCTAGGTACTGAGATATAAAATAGTCATTTATACTCTACAAGTACCTGATGGATAGGAGAAACCTTCACCAATGCCACCTTCTCCTGCCTGAAGCAGAAACTACAACTAAGTAGAGTTCAACTGGGGGCCTTAGGGGCTTCACCAAGGTGATATAAATCCAACCCAGAAGACAAGGTGAAATTATATACAGATTTAGGCAAACTAAAGATGTTCAAAAAGCTCCAGTTCCATAAAGGCACATGCATTCATTACACCCAAGTGTGTGGTTCCCATTTCTACACAAATCTTTACCTTAGTCACAACAGTGATGCACCGAAAAAATAAGGTAGAGGGAAACAGGTGGATGGATGTTTCTTTTCTTTTATTATTATTTTTATTATTATTGAAACAGGGTCTCCGTATGTTACCCAGGCTGGTCTCGAAGTCTTGGCCTCAAGTGATCCTCCTGCTTCGTCCTCCCAAAGTGCTGGGATTACAGGCACAAGCCACCACACCAAGCCTGGATGTTCTTAAGTAAAACAACCAGTAGCTTCCTTAGAGCTTGGCATTTAGCTACCAACAAACCTAAGCGCTGAAATGTTCAACTGTGTCATGGGAGCATTTGAAACTATGGCAGAAATTAAATTACTGAAAGGAATTAATGCAAAGCTGCTGTTATAGTCTTTTGTGCAATTTAATTTACAGTTTGCATAAATAATTACAATACTTTCATTTGTTTTCTCTATTTTTTTTTTTTTTTACCTTGTCCTTCTGGAGTTTCACCAAAGGGATTCACTTCCACCTGAGTAGCATCAACTTTCAGGAAGAGATTATATAGCTTCGTAATTTGATCTGCAGCCTAAATGTGATCAAGTGAAATAGAATTATACCAAAGCAGTAAAAAAAAAAAAAATTTATTTTGCTGAATTAATGAAACCTTGAAAATAGAAAGTTATGTTTTTATTTTCAGTTAGGTTTTCTGAAGGGAAAAACAGAAAAACATAATTATTCTAATTTCTGGTGCTATTCATTAAAAGGAATTGCTCAACTCTCCTCCAGACACCAGAAGAGACCATTATCAAGAAAACAAAATATTTTCAGTATAGCCTAAAATCTTGTTAATCTTTTTGTAAATTATCATGTCTCTATTAGCAGAGTTAAGCTGCAATATAAGCTACAATCATTAATACAAACAAGCTCCATTTAAGTAAAAGGTAAACACGATTTTGAGAGTTTATAATGACTAGGTTTTTCTTATTGTGTTGAAATAAAACAGTTATTATATTCATCAATCCAACCCATAATCTGTGAAACAACAATTACTGAGTATCTAATGGAAACTGTTAAAAAACAGGAAGATGAAAGTGCTTAATAGTATAGTTACCGAACAGCACAGTTCGAACTGAAATAGTTTGTCCCAAAGGCAGTAACGACAAAGAGCAAGAATATCCAAGGTTGTCCTGTTATGCCCTGACTTCGTTTTTCTCACTTGGCTTGAAATTCACTCATTCATTCATTCTTTTCAACCACTATTTCTTCACTGCCTATGATATAGCAGGCTGGTATCCTGTGAGCTGGGGCTTGAAATAAGAACATGAATGAGCCGTCCGCCTGCCCTGGAAAGCTCCTGTCAATAAGGAAAGGAGTACGTGATGCACAGAGCAAGGGGGTTGATCACGGCGAAGCATTAGATATCAGTCTCATTCCTGGCTCCATTTTTCTCTCAAGCCACAGTTTTCCCATTGGCGTATTTCACTCACTGTGCCAGCCTTACATTATTTGCAACAGATCCATTTTCTGTTCCCCAACTCTACTCTGTAGATGAAGGGAGCTGACTCTTACAGGCTGAGTTTTCTAGGTTCCTAGGGCAGCTGGTTTCCAGCTGGGGTCAGCCAATGGGAAGCAGTGGTGAGAGACGGAGGTGGGGAGAAGGGAAAAGCCAGGGTACTTCTACTCCTCTCTTTCTATCAAGGCAGCATCTCCTCCTCTGGCTCTTGCTCCCACTGGAGAAGCCCACCAGGGTTCTAGCTTCTGTATCCAAGGTCCAGTAAACACTGCTGCCTCATTTTTGTTCCTGGAACACGAAGATGGATATGCTCTAGGTTGCCTTTCTGTTTAAAGTATTCAGCTCTTGCAGCACCTATGAAACACATCCCTAAAGTAAATACCCACTGGTGTAAATATTGCAAGTGGTTCCAGATTTGACTGAAGAACTATGGATTTAATTCATGCTATCTTAATGTATTTTACGTCTACCTGCAAACATCTTTAAATTCAAATGTGAGGCCCAGTAGATATAAACAAACCCACAAAATGAGTATGATTAAATGTTTTTAGTATTAAATATTTGTATGAGTAGATAATACATGTACATGATATAAAATTCCCAAAGTACCTAAGAGTTTTCCCTGATTGTACCACTCAACCACACAGGCCCCCAGCAGCAGCCACCTCATCAATTTGTGCTTTATCTGAGAGATATTCTGGGTCTAAGAAGGTATGCATCCCTGCTTCATCTGTCTTAAAAAAGCAAACTTGTTTCTGTGCCTCATTTCTTTACCTAACAGATTTTTAGAGACATCAGCAACACAGGTAGATCAATAGTATCCTTTTAATTGACTACATAGTATCTTACTGTATTGATATATATTTCCTTTAACCTTTCACTTAATGACCATTTGGATTGTTTCTAATAGGTTGATATCATAACACTGCCTTACTTGTCTCTGTACATTTATCATACAGGTGATTACAGATTTGTAGAATAAATTACCCAGAGTGAAGGAAAAAGGAGTGCATGCATTTTCAGTATCAAAAGATTCTGTTAAAATTGTCCTTGATAGAAGCTGTCCCTAATTTTCACTCCTACGAAGTGAAAATTATCAGAGACGTTGTTTTCCAATTCACAATCATTAGCCATTTGTATCTTTGCCAATGTGTTAGGTAAAAAATGGTATCTCACTGATATGATTTGGCTCTGTGTCCCCACCCAAATCTCACCTTGAATTGTAATAATCCCCACAAGTCCTGGGAGGGACCCAGTGAAACGTAATTGATTCGTGGTGACAGGATTTTCCCATGCTGTTCTCATGATAGTGAATAAATCTCAGGAGATCTGGCGTTTTTATAAAGGGCAGTTCCCCTGCACAAGCTCTCTTGACCGCCACCATGTGAGAAGTCCCTTTGTTCTTCCTTTGTTTTTCCCCATGATTATGAGGCCTTCCCAACCATGTACAACTATGAATCATTTAAACCTCTGTCCTTCATAAGTTACCCACTCTCAGGTATGTCTTTATTATCAGCATGAGAACAGATAAATACACTCACATATAGTTTTAATTTGAACTTATTTTACTATGAATGAGTTTGTGCATTATTCTGTGAGTTTAAGAGATATCTTATTTCTTTTTCTGTGAATTTTGCCTATTTTCCTGTTGAGATTTTGGTCTCATTAATTTATTGGAGTGGTGTGTGTGAGTGTGTGTTTACAAGATGGTCTTGCTCTGTCACCCATACTGGAGTATACTAGCACAAACGTGGCTCACTGTAGCCTTGAACTCCTGGGCTCAGATGATCCTACCACCTCAGCCTCCCAAATAGCTAGACTACAGGCACATGCAACTACACTCAGCTAATTTTTTATTTTAAATTTTTCTAGAGATTGCGTCTCACTGTGTTACCCAGGCTGGTCTTGAAATCCTGGTCTCAAGCAATCCTCTTGCCTCAGCCTTGCAGAATGTTGGCATTACAGGTATGAGCCACCGTGCCCAGCCTATCGGACATATTTTTATATGAAGGAAATTGGCTCCTCCTGTCATGTAAATTACAAATATTTTTTCCCTTTTAACATTTACCTACTAAACATATTTTTTCTACTTTTGCCACATGGAAATTTCAGAATAATGCCATTCTTATATGGCTTCTGGCTTTATGTCCAACTTTTAAAAGGCTAAACCCATTCTGAGGTGTTTTTTTTTTTTTTTTTTTTTTGAGATGGAGTCTCACTCTGTCATCCAGGCTGGAGTGCAGTGACGTGATGTAGGCTCATTTCTGAGAGTATTTTTTAAAATTCTCCCATTGTTTTTTTCTCGTATTCTTTATAATTTCCTTTATTTAATGTTTCCATTTTTTTAATCCAAATAAAATTTAAGTTAAAGTGTGAAGCCAGCAAATACTTCATTGCTGAATATTTTTTGTATTTTGGGGGGGTTTTCTAGGTCAGCAATGGGAGCTTGCAATGTGAGTTGGACAGGGCATCCTATATATCCGGGGTACCTTGGCATCCACTGTAGTGATACAACCTCTGCAGGGTCACCACTCTATAAATATTGATTGAATTAAAGATTAATTTAATTCTAAGGGGGGACTAGATAATAGAAATAACTTCTGGGTACATATATATGTATAATCTAATCCAGTTACTTCAAAACTTCCTTTTTAAAAAATTGTGATAAAATATACAAAATATAAAATTCACCATATCTCAACCATTGTGGAACCAATCTCTAGAACTTCTTCATCTTCCCTCAAACTCTGTATCGCTAAACAGACTCTCATTCTCCTCTTCCCACTGCCTCTGGCAACATCATTCTACTTTGTGTCTATAAATTTGACTATTCTAGACAGCATCTCTGTCTCTCCCTCTCTGTCTCTACACACGCACACACACATACACATACACACACACACACACACACACACACACATCTCCATATAGATATATATGTATAGATATATAGAGATAGAAGATATATATGTATGTGTATATATATATATATATACACACATACACTAGAGATATCTATCTATATATGTATATACATACATAAAATAAAAGCTATGCATATAAACATATACTAGATACTTGTGGAACCATACAGTGTTTGTCTTTTTCTGACTGGCTTATTTCACTTAGCACAATGCCCTCAAGCCCAATCCATACTGTAGTATGTGTCAGAATCTTCTTTTACAAGGCTCAATAAAGTTCCATTATAGTATATACCACATTTTGTTTATCTATTCATCCACAGATGTATACTTAAATTGTTTCAGAACTTCTTAAGCCTATACCAACTTTGCTTAGTATAAAGCCTGAATTTTCTGCACATTAATGCCATTGTAATTTATACATTAGCATAGCATTCTGGAGATATTTTCTGTTTTAATTTTCAGTGTTATACAAAGACACACTATAATTTTTTGAGCAAGACTAAAACATAATTTGACTTGGAGACATCTCCAAATCAAGCTGGTTCTCCCTTGTAGATCTTCCAATGACAAACCCTTGTATGATGTCTTATTCCAGAGGCTATACACTACATGGTTACAAGGACTAGGCAGAAAGAATGTGTAAGTGTGACCAGGTGTAACAGGGAGTGGTATGGCATGTGGCAAGTTAAGATTCGCTTTCCTGCTTTCTACATGGGTTAAATGTTTAAAAATAAGCACAGGTCAAAGTTGTTTACTACTGCCATCTACTTTCTTGGCTTATAACCACTCTGCACAAAAATTTTTCTGCACTTTTGCCACCAACTAATGTTAACAAGTTTGTCTGTTAAGCAATTTTTAAAAATTGAAATCCGTAAAATCAAATATGAATACATGAAAACCTGACAAGTTTATAAGATTCTTTAAAAATGTCTCACCAGAAGCATAAAGACAAAGGGCCTCAGAACCGTGCGGGCACAGTTATGCACTGGGTCACTAAGAGGGTGTTTACGAAGGCATTGTACCTGGCCACTCCGCCCTTGACCCTCAACCCAGCTGAATATGACATATCCCCGGAAACCCAGCAGGCACAAGCCAAGTGGTTGGCTGTAAGGGCTCAGCTGAAATGGGAGTACTTGCTTCAGTACAGTGACCCTAACAGTTGACAGCTTATTGAAGATCCTGCCTTGATTTCTTGGACCTATGCAAGATCGGCAAATGTCTATCCTAATTTCACAACTACTCCTAAAAACTCACGCTTAGGAGCTCTGTGTGGAATTAGGCACTTCTTCTGGTATTACGTTTTCAAAACTAAGAGGAATAGGAAAGGAAAACTTATCCAGGAAGGAAAATTGGATCAAACATTTAACATCTGCCAGTGATGACTATATGTATTCTTGCTGAAATAAATCATCTATTAATTTTAAAAAAGTCTCAACAGGTTAAGAATTTTACATATTTTTCTTGCATTCTAGACATTATCATCAATATTCACATATGGCTCTCAAATCAAGCCAGTCAGTGCAAGATCACAAACCACTTAAAGAGGTGTTTGTGATCTTGCACTGACTTGGACCATCAGATCTTTTCATCAGCCTAAAACCTAGAGGCACATGTTTACAGTTCATGGCACCCATGTTTTCAGAAATGAACAGTATAGATGATAACTAAGATTCACCTGAGAAACTTGTAAGTTTTAGTCATGTAATTGTCCGTTCCACTACCATCCTCAGTTTTTCTTTCTGTGGTTTTAGTTACCCACGGTCTACTGTGGTCCAAGTTATTAAATGGAAAGGACAAAATTATGGAATAAAATCCTTGGATGGAACACAGTATTAAAGTCACTGAAGGATTACAACCTCTACAGCAACACTTTGATGAGTTAAAAAGAAAGAGACAAAACTTCTAAAATGATGTTCTTCTAAAAGGTTGTGGTGAAAACCTTCAATTATCCAGGATTCCCAACCAGTGACATCATCTGTTCCTGACATCCAGCCACTGACACCTGTGGCTTGATGATCCAGGATCATCCAAAGTAGATGTCGCTCCTGAAGTATTGCCAGGAGGTCATGAGTAGCTCAATGCTACATCAAAATGCTCATATCACTCACCCTACATCTTACCATGTAGACGTTGTATCATCTGACATCATCACAAGAAGGATGAATACACTACCATGAGGTATTTTGAGAAAGAGACCATACTCACATCACTTTTATTACACTTTATTGCTATTGTTCTATTTTACTGTTGTTAATATCTTACTGTACCTAATTTTTTTTTTTTTTTTTTTTTGAGATGGAGTTTCACTCTTGTTACCCAGGCTGGAGTGCAATGGCGCGATCTCGGCTCACCACAACCTCCACCTCCTGAGTTCAGGCAATTCTCCTGCCTCAGCCTCCTGAGTAGCTGGGATTACAGGCACGTGCCACCATGCCCAGCTAATTGTTTTTTGTATTTTTAGTAGAGACGGGGTTTCACCACGTTGACCAGGATGGTCTCGATCTGTTGACCTTGTGATCCACCCGCCTTGGCCTCCCAAAGTGCTGGGATTACAGGCATGAGCCACCACGCCTGGCCTGTACCTAATTTTTAAGTTAAACTTTAACCTAGGTATATATATATCCAGAAAAAAAAGAGTATATATAGAGTTTGGTAGTAGGTAAGCTTCAGGCATCCACTGGAGGTCTTGGAACGTATCCTCCACAGATAAGGGGGACTTACTGTATTAAGCTTTCCTATGTCTTAATATTTTTCAACGAATTCTCACAAAAATAGACTTTAGTTGGGAACAAATACTTGGTAGTTTTCATGTAAAGTAAAATATCATGTTTATATTTGTTGTGTCTAATATTAATCACATTTTAGAGACAACAGGCATGAGTCACAGAAAAGATACTAATCATTTTACAATACTGTCATTTTACATGGTATTCAACTATGAGTGAGGTACCTCCAAATGCCTAAACCACATCCTAGATGAAAATTAAGTAACTTTCAATGTCACATTGAATCTAAGGCATCTCTAAGATACTGTTTCTTTAGGAAAAGATCATTGATTGATGATTGTTTCAATGTTTCCCTTCTCTACTGACCCATCTGCTCATTGTAGACTGGCTCTCAAGGTAGAACCTTTCACTAATTCCCACAGCTTGAGCAAGCACCATAAAGCAGAGATTCCCAAGCTTGCAACTCCAGTACAAAGCTTTCCCTGAGATCCCAAGCCATATATTCCTTCTACTGTAGAAATACACTCAGTTGTCCCTAGATGAACAGCTTCCAACATGACTACAGCTGAGTTCTCTCTCTCTCTGTCTCTATGTCTCTGTCTCTCTGTCTCTCTCTCTCTCTCTTCCCCCCACCCCACCCTTTCACATTCCTTTATCCACCCCGCTTCCTGTACTCTCTCAGCCAGCAGGCAGATGTTTACTGGTCGGTGAGCCTCTGAAGAAAAATGGTTGTGTTTCATTGTCTCTGCTCCCCAAGGCACACCAGACTGAGCAGCACCCAATCAGTGCTCATCCCAAGCTGCTGAGAAAATGAAGATTTAAAGCTTTCATGGAATTAGCAGTGAAGAAAGAAAGAAATAACAGATTTAAAACATTTTATTTCCTTTCCTCAATAAATTAAGTCAAAGTTATATTGACAATATGGCCACTTACTGACCCCTGAGTTCTGACATGTTCATCTTCCTTCCATAGGTTAACTCATTTAAAACCTAGAGTGTTTCAGGCACTAGGAAAACACTAGTAAGCCATTTAAGAACTATAAATAACTCTTAATTTTCTCTTATAATACGTAGTGAGGGGGGAGTATCCTGTGATGTACATTATACTGTTAATAACTTCTCTAGAACTCTCTATTACATTCACCTCTTGAGCTTTTAAATATGTGGTTAGCAGATTTTGCCCATTCTTCCGCCATGAAAGCCACCTTTTGCTGACTCCCTAGGAACCTCTTCAAAGTGGACACCTAGATGTGTTGTTTAACCTAGTCATGTACATGACAAATGCTTCTTGAGGAATAAAAATAGATGCCAAGCACTTTGCCAGCTGCTGGCAACACAGAAGAGAGGAGAATGGACAAAGTCCCTGCTGTAGTAAAGATTAGGATCTAGCAAAGGTGACTGCAAATAAATAAGAGAAATACAGATGTCCAAAGTGATATGGAGGAGGGAGACAGGGTCACTGTGCACACTGGAACTGACTGCTGGACAGGGCAGCTAGACCATGGGAGATGAGCTTTTGGTGACCACCACTGCTACAGGAGAAGCCCTTTAATAAATGTCAAGTGAATGGCTAATGTAGCTGGTATCCTCATTTTCAGGAAGTGAAACCAATGACTGTAGCAAAAAGTCAGGAATCTTCCAGTATCTTCTTTAGACAGATTACTATGCTGGCATCTCTTTGCTAGTCTCAGAAATGGAAATTAGTTCCTCTAATTCTCCACTGAATCTTGGCCCCTTCTCTGTCATCCTGAGGTTTAGTCCCAGTTGATCCTTTCTCATTCTACCATCTTCAACCTTTTGCTTTCAAAGTGAGCCTTTACTCATTTTCAAATAAACGGTTTCCCTTCATTTAAGCATATATATATTTTTAAAACCTTATTCTACTTTAACCCTCTTTGACTTGCCTACTGCTACCATAAAACTTCCAGAGAGATAGTCAATCAAAAGAAAAACACAGGAAGAAAAGAGTGGATCATCTACTGTCTTACGGGAACCGTGCTGCCCAACCAAATTAAAGGACACACTCTATAATCTCTTCATAAAGCCCCAGGCCAGAGAACATAGACACGCACACACAGGCACGCAATTTAGGATCATTAAGGTGGCTTCTCTGAGTAATAGAGGAAGGAAAAAGTAAGTTCATCTGATTTCGCTGTGGTACTAGGAAGCTTGGCCCGCTAGACATATAATCAGGTGCACAGGCTGGACCCAAAGGCAGAGCAGGGCACAATGCTCAAGACAGATTCTGTCCCTCAACAGCTCTGAGGCCAATTGTTTGTTCTTTGAATATAAGGGATATTATTACAAAATTGGCGTATTTTAAGTTGTTCACTTTATGTCATCAATGTTCATTTCAAATGCCCATTAGCTATGAAAGAAAAGCAATTTAGCTAAATAACATGTATTATTAATACCAATAAGAATGGGCCTTTATGGAGCACTACAATAAGGAGTTTCGCACACATTATTTTACCGAATCCCCACAATAAGCTCTCAGGAGTAGTCATCATTTCCATTCTACAGATGATGAAACTAAAGTTCGAATGAGCTGAATCACACACCTGCCAGTGCTATGTACCAGCAATGCTACAGAAAAAATACAGATTACCATCCATCATAAAGTGTATGTGTCCACATGCAATACACATGCAGACACATACCAAAATACATTAAAAGACACATCATAAACATCCTCTTTTAAAACATCAGGTAAATACTTTTCTTTATCATAAACAGCTGGAGGCAAAAATTATAAAACAATAAATAATCCCGTTTCCTAATCGCAGACACTAGACGCAATTAAGCATGTTCCCAAATGTTTTCTGAAACAAGTCAGACACACCATCCCCCAACGGCTTATATACCTGGCTTTTCAAAGGCCCAACAAAGCCTAGATTTTCTGCCATCCGCTGAGCTTGGCTGTCCTTTATTCCTTCAAAAATATCAATTTGCTCCTAGTAAAAATAAATCAAATAAACAAAATTCAGACAGTGAACTAAGAAGATTTACAACCCCAAAAGAAAATGCTTAGTATTTATTTGCAAATGAGTAATTAAAGCATGGCACCTATCCAGAGATCTCTGAGCAGGGCTCCCACAGATGCCTGTAGGGTATGTTTTAATTAGCAGACCATCTATAAAACAGCCCTTCCAAAAACTATATAATTCTTCACGGTGGCAGGCTGACAAGAAGATCTGATGCCAGTTTTCACTTTTAATTACTATACAGATGGCATTGACGAATATTTAGTCAGTTAATTTTTATGACATCTTTTGGAAGGCTTCCAAAGTAAGGTTTTCCTGCCTAATATTAGTTAAGTTTAAAGCCTGTCATAGATAGGTTAAATATTACATTATGATTTAAACACTCTATTGGTGATAATTCTTATTGATATCTTACCTCTACAAAATGCTATTGACTCAAAGACACTGAGCACTGTTCATATACATTATTTCATGAATCCTCTTAATAAATGGAATGGCTTGATTTAAATAATGTGAACTTTGAAAATAACTAGGTGTTATTGGTAAGTCTGCATATAAACTCTCAATTCAATTTCCAAGGTAACTGGTGAAAATATTTTAAAACTAATCACTCAAGTATGAGTACAGCAGGTCTGCAAATAACGTTACTCCATTCAAAGTTATTTTAGAGAAACAAAAAAGAATCAATTCCTAGCCAAGGCCACTGTCTGTGTGGAGTCTACACGTTCTACCCTTGTCTGAGTAAGTTTTCTCTGGGTCCCCTGCTTTTCTCCCACATCCCAAATCTGTACCTGTCAAGTGAACTGGCATGTCTATGCAGTCCCAGTCTGAGTGGGTGGTGGGTGTGCTGTGTGAGTGTGCTCTGAAATGAGATGGTGTCCCATCCAGGGTGGGTGCTTTCCTTGCACCCTGTGCTCTAGCCACCAGAGACCCTGAGCTGGAATAACTGGATAAATAATGATCTTATTTGTTCTTATGAAATCTTTTAAATGTATACATGGTTCCTATTTATTTTAATGTGTAACATTAGAAATGTGTTGGTCTTCATTTAGGAGTTGGGTGATGTTTTTGTGAGCAGAAATATGCCATAGGAACTTAAGTCTTGTTTATATCAATTAGCCTATGTATGGTAACACTGGTTTCCTTATACAGCGTTTCCATTCAAGTCACAATTTCCAAGAATCTGCTGACGATACTAAGTGAGTGTGTATTGTACATTATTTAGACAAAGAGATTTAAGAAATAAACTATCCCCTTTTCAAAGGGAAACAAAAAATCATTTTCTAAAAGAAATAATGAATGTTTCTGGTGGAAAATTTTAATATAATTTTGACCCCAAAACCCATATTAAAAACTTGAATTTTAGTTCTGAAAAGTTATGTTGTTCTCCTTACAGCTGAGGTAGGTTAAGAAGCACTTGATATACATCATCTCATTGAATCCTTACAATCTCATAGGATAGAAATCACCCCATGTTCATCTTACTGATTTAAAAATTAGGTTTAGAGACTTTGAGAAACTTGCACTCTGATTAAATTTGACCTCCGATCTATGACTTGAAACTAAGCTTAATATCAATAAATGAGTCAAGATATCAAGGATTGAAAGAAACAGACAGAATCTGGACTTCATAAAGACTCTAGTTTACATCAACAGTGCTAAGAGACCTCAAGGCAGTGTCTAGTTCACATCTGCTAAAAGAGAATTCATTCATCTCCTAGAAGAGAATTTCTAGATCATATAGAATATAAAATGAAAGAGAGTTAACCATGAGAAATGAAAATATAGCAGTCCTCTCCCAGTGGTTAATTCTTGAGGAAGACTGGATGGAAAGAAATCAGGGAGAAAAGGCAGGAAGAAGGAAAGAAGGAAGAATGGGGAAAGCAAAGATAAAAAGTCCTTGAACACTGAATACCTTGATTCCACCCAACTTTCATCTGGATACCTAGAAAGAGAAAGGGCTCAACATCTTCATACCTTAAATTGTAGAGACAGATTTACTGCTCCTGGCCTTAGACTCCACATTAAACAGTTAACAGCTTCTACAATAACAATCAATTAATAGAGGGTAGCCAGGAATTTAAACATACCTTAAAAATGAGCTCTGGATTTGAAGCAGCCACCTCTTCAATGTCGACGCCCCCCTGTGGGCTGCCCACCAACACTGGGCCATTGCAGGACCGGTCCATCAGAATTGCCAGGTAGGTTTCTCTGGAAATGTCCAAGGCTTCAGCAACCATCACCTACCATATTAGTGGGAAAGTCAAATTAATTCAGCGTTAAGCTGATTTCTACTTGGAAATCTATACGAACTTGCCACACGAATCAAACGGCTTCATTCTCAGGCTCTTAAAGCCCAGGGAGTCAGTTTGCAGAGATTTGAGAGTTCTGCTCTCATGGTGCTCACAATGCCCATTTTTACCTCCTTAACTGATCCTGTTAACTTGTTCAAGAGACAGGTATTCGGTTGGCCTCAAGGAACTTTCCTACTTTAATCTTTTTTTTTTTTTCCCCTTCCTCAAGAAACTGTGTGGCTTAAGAAATACTCTAGGGAAGTGGCTGTTATTTTAATTTGAGATATTAACATACATACATACATACATATATACATATATATATATATATATCTCACTACACTGACTTTTCTCAGATTTCACTGTTGGAAAACCAAGTATGATTGCCACAGAAGGATTCTTTTATGGTGTCTGATGTTTCATATATTTGTATGTTTCTCTCTTTGATCACTGTATTTCATTTTATATTTTCTTTTAATTTACAAACAGAGTACAGGTTTGTTCAAAAATAATGCAAATGACACCAAAAATATTGGAGAAAATGAAAGCAGCCCCCTGCTGTACACCTCTACCTCAAACAAACCGCTCGGGCCCCAGAAGTCAGGGCAGGTATGAGCCTACCAGGAACCTCTGTGATAACTAGAAATAGGTACCCGTCCCTCTGGGAGGATGTAGTCACTTGCCAGGACCATAACTGGGCAAGGGACAAGTGGAATGTTAGAATGTCATCCAATTCCACAAGTGAGAGAGGACTCACTGCCTCAGCCAGGTGTCTTTTCGCTCTGTAAAACTTGAATGGCATGTAACACCCCTACCAAGAAAAACCACAGCTAGCATTCTGGACCTTTTCTATGTATCTGCAAGCATTGCAGTAATGGAATCATCCTACATGTGGAAGCATATTATATACACTAGGATGCTTGCCTTTGTTTTTTTAATCTTTTTTTTTTTTTTTTTTTTTTTTGACAGAGTCTCACTCCATCACCCAGGCTGGAGTGCAGTGGCACGATCTCGGCTGACTGCAACCTCCACCTCCCTGCAACCTCTGCTTCCCAGGTTCAAGCGATTCTCATGTCTCACCCTCCCGAGTAGCTGGCCTTAGAGGTGCCTGCCACCATGCTTGGCTAATTTTTACATTTTCAGTAGAGACGGGGATTCAACATGTTGGCCAGGATGGTCTTGAACTCCTGACCTCAAGTGATCTACCTGCCTTGGCCTCCCAAAGTGATGGGATTACAAACGTAAGCCACGTGCCTGACCTCCTTCTTAAAATCTTAATACTACAATATTACAACTTAAATATCTTTCTAAGGTCTCTCTTCCTTGCGATTACACGGTACTTAGACAACAATATTTATTTAACCATGTTCTCACTGTCTTTTTTTTTTTTTTTTTTTTTAGACAGGGTCTTGCTGTGTTGCTCTCAGGCTGGAGTGCAATGGCACAACTGTGGCTCAACTGCAGTCTTGACCTCCCAGGCTCAAACGATCCTCTCACCTAAGCCTCCTGAGTAGCTGAAACCATAGGCATGCACCTTCAAAGGCACCTAATTTTTGCTTTATTTTTTGTAGAGATAAGATCTTGCTATGTTACCCTCGCTGGCTTCAAACTCCTGGACTCATAATCCACTCACTTCAGCCTCTCAAAGTGTTAGGATTACAGGCATGAGCCACGGTGCCTGGCCTGCTGACAGACATTTACATGAAATTCAATTTTCCTAAAATGCTACTTTAGAGAGTATTTTTATACATATATCTTTATTCATTTCTTTTAGTAACCCTATGGATAAGGATCCTAAATGTGAAGTGTCTAGGTTTTAAACTGTGAATATTTAAAATTTCGAGTGCCCTTGAGAGAGGTTGTTCCAACTTACACACCTAATAAGAACAAGATGTCTTAGATGTTTAAAGAACATAAAACAATCCCATAAATAATCAGTAATAGATGTGAAAATAATGAAAACACTTACATTGTTACAAGTAGTTTAGTAATGGGTTCTACTTAAAAAGTTACAGATTAAGTAGCATTAGATTTTAGCTACTCAGATATCACAAAAACACTGTTTTTGGTCACATGAAATGGGATCAATATATGATGATCTAAAAAGCTATAATGCAATGAATACAGAACTCCTCTTTTTAAAACTTTTGTTGAATTTACCATTAATTAAAAATAAAATATATAAGTCTTCATATTGATTTGTTTTATCAGAAATGGGAGCTCATGAGTATATAAAAACTGTTTCTCAGCACACGGTTTTAGAACTAGCACAGAACCATTCTGATTTCAAGTTGGTTGTCCTCACCAACAATGGAGGTCAAACCATCAGCTAGTACCTAATTCTCTCAGCCTTCAGGTTGCCTAAAACCATCAATTCTTTCAGATTGAGGAGTAGGAGAATGTTTGACACAAAAATACTTAGTCCTATTCTTTCCTTATAAAATAAAGTAACAACTTGTTGCTTATAGTTTGCCTTTCTAGGCATCAACATTAATACAAACATTTTAAGAAATTAAGATAGTCATTTCTTGTAAAAGTTTCTCTAGAAGGTGAGAGAGTGGTTTTAAAAACTTTGGCACACAATACAAAATGAGGAATGTGTTTTGTTTATGCTTTCAGGTCTATGGTCTTAATATTGTTCATTTGCTAATACAGAGTTAGTCTAGTGAATATTGCTTACTGACTTTCAGTAGTTATTCTTAGAAGCAACACAAAATTATAACTCTTTAGGATAAGTGTCATTCAAGAGTCCTATTCTCAATCTTCAAAAATGTTGACAGATGTGCTCTGCATTCCACCAAATTTCTATTTGTGAAGCCCAGCTGCTGTCTGAAACAACTCTTGCTTTGTAGGAATAATGTGTGACTCTTTAAGAAAATGTCACCAGGAAAATAATTATCAAGAGATAATTCAAGAAATTTTATACAACAAAGACCAGTTTGTTGACGTCGTCATGTCTTCCAAATGACCCAGGATGTCAGAGTATTTTAGGAAGGGTTATAGAGTGATCTAAATGGATTCCACCAACACTCATCCCTGAGCAGCTCTATTAGATACATTTCAAAAGAGCTTCACCTGTGAGTTACACAAAGAATATGTTGACACATCGTCTTTGTGGAGTCCACCAGTAGAAAAAGTTAAAATTGCCTATCTACCACTGAATCTGTTTTCTTAAAAATACCATTATACTTGAATTGTGGTCAAGAGATGAATGTTAGCGTACAAACTATTTGTAACACACCCATTAACAGAGAAGATGAAATGTACATTTTCAAATTTTAAATTCATTACAGAGCAGTAAACACTACTAGTACCGAATGCGGGACTGCATGATGAGTAGCACTGTCTCATGGCCCTAGTACTAGCCCCAGGAGCACAGAACACATTGGCACAGACTTAGAAAACAAATATCCGATATGTATAAATGTGTGCATATGTATAAATGTGTTTAAATAGCTTCTCAAATAAACTTAGATTCAAAAGATTCTATAATCTTGGGACTTCCGCTGCTGAGAAGATGGAATAGACATATTTTTCCCTATTCTTTCTGCTAAGTACAAATAAAAACCTTGGACATATATATACATACAACTTAAGGTGACTCTGAAAGTTATAGAGAAAACGCGAGACTAGCGAAAGAGCTTGAGGTCTGAAGAAGGGCATGGTAGTGAGTCCCCTGTGTTTTCTTTGGCCTCATAAATCTCAGGCAGGGTGTTAGGTGCTGGAGAAGCCAGCAATCCAGAAACATTAATAGGCATATACAAATACGCTAACACTAACAATAGCTGGTGAGCTAAAAAAAAAAAAAAAAAAAAATTGCAAAAAAATCTCATAATGTTTAAGAAAGTTTACCAGCTTGTTTTGGGCCACTTTCCAAGCCATCATGGGATGCATGTGGCCTGTGCGCCATGGGTTGGACAAGCTTGCACTAATCCATTCGTGAGGGCAGAGACTTCATGACTAATCACTTCTCAAAAGGCTTTACGCCTTAATGCCAGCATAATGGGGATTAAATTTCAACATGCATTTTGGAGGGGACATTCAGACCATAGCATCCATGAATAGATAATTCACCAATGACAATCTACAGATGGCAAAAAAGCACATAAAAAGATGTTCAACATCTTTAGCTATTAGGGAAATGTGAATTAAAATCACAGTGAAATATCAGTACATACCCATCACAATGGCTAAAATAGTATCACCACCACCAAATGCGGGCTAGAATGTGGAGAACCCTGACTTACACACTGCTGATGGCAATGTAAAATGAAACAGCCACACTGAAAAACATTTGTCCGTTTCTTAAAAAAACTAATCATACAACTTCCATATAACCCAACAATTATTCCCCAAAATGAAGATTTATATTCATACCAAAAACCTGTTCATGAATGTCTAGAGCGGCTTTATTTGTAATAGCTCAAAATGAACCAACCCAGATATCTTTCAACAGATGATGGTTAAAGAAACTGTGGTAGGTACATCCATATCATAGATTGCTACGCAGCAAGAGAAAAGGACTGCAATGTGATTATTATGCATGATATGCCTGTATCAAAATATCTCATGTACCTCATAAATAGATACAACTACTATGTACCCACAAAAATTAGCAAAAGAAAATAAACTAAATGCTGATAAATACAACAATTTAGAGTTTTCCACAAAACTCTCCCTGAAAAGTAAAAACAGGATGTAACCACTGTAGTGGCTTGCAGCATGGTGCACTGGTAGGGACCACTAATCTGTGATGTTACGTCAATGGAGCAGATAGCTGCCACCCCAAAATCTGGGACTCTAATTCGCTCTTGGGACAGGACCTTCTAACCATGGATGCTTTTCAGTGCTGACACGTGATCAGGGTAGTTGTATAGGAATTTAATATTTAGCTATAGCTGTCTTCAAATTTTAACATAGGTCCCTGCCTTTTTACTTTCCACTGGATTCTGCAACCCAGGTAGCTAGTTCTAGTGTCTGGATATGCAAAAGGGATGGCAAAAGGTAGATTAAACTGGTAGGAAGCATTTAAATATCCTCAGTAAACAAGCTTTGTTTTTAGGCACATTGATGTTTTTTTGGAGTTCTTTATTGCATTTATTTTCCAAGTTAGTGTAAGAGAGCTTTTACAGTTACTTGGAAGTTATATGCCATTACTGCTTTCCATGTTGCTTAAAAAAAAAAGCCATTATGATGGGCGTGTAATGATATTTCATTGTGAACCAATCACTGCAGGACACTGCAGGGGTGACATCCTGTTTTTACTTTTCAGGGAGAGTTCTGTGGAAAACTCTAAGTTGTTGTAATGTGTTATCTAAGGCAGGAGGGAGAGTTAGGTTCTGGTCTCAGTTCTATCACTCACAATTCCATGATTGAGGCAAGCTCCTTTTCTCTGGGCTATATGTTGTGTGTGGTGGGGTGGGGGTGGGGGGCCGGAGGCATGTTCACATGCTATACATACTTGAGTGATTCAGCTGACCTTCATAATGCAATATACCCCCAGCAACAAAAATGGCTCAGAATTACAGCCATCCCCAAATAAGGAATGCGGCACTTAGAAAAATATCACCATAGGTAATTCTGACAGACATGCCTGGGGTTGGGGGGCACTGTATGGGAGCAGCGAATGTCCCTCACTGAATGTAAGGCTGTCATAACAAGCACCTCTCGACTAAAGAGAACGCATCTGTGTTTTCAGAGGGAAAGCCATTGCCTGGTCACTCACTCTCACCCGCTTTTGCTAAACGCTAATGATAATAAATACTATTACTATCATAGAGCCCTTTTTATTTCTCCTCAAAGACATATCACTTACTAAACAGACTGGATGAGCTTTAAAAAGTAAAATGGCATATTGCCAAAGAGCAGTACTTCATTAGATTCTGTCAAAAACTAAAGAATGGTTTTCTTTTCAATTTTTTAACACATATATAGAAAATGACCCAAAGTATCCATATTACCTTGTTAACTTTCACACCTTCTTTTGGAGTTTGTTTGGTCGCTAGATTGTACCCAATCATCTGTTTAGCCAGCTGTCCCACAACATTAGGGCTAAGAGAAAGAAGAAAAAAGAAGAAAAGGAATGTCTGTTGAAAATCATTTTAAAGCAGAGTCTTTACACATAGCCTCATGTCTACATTGCAAAGGGTTCACCTTCACCCTTACAAGATCCATGTGTCTTTCTGCTTATGTGTTTAGCACTGTACTAGAGGCTCAGTGGGAGCAAAATAAAAATGAATTCATGAATGAATAAATGAAACAAAAGAGGCTTTGTTGACCTCTTTACCCAAATAAGTTACAGTCACAGTAAAGAGATAGTGCTGAAATGCATACCAGATTTAGGTAAGAGTTGACTGAAGACCTGACAGTGGAAAACTGGAAAGATATTGAACAATTAGTGGGATAGGAAGAGGGTAAAAATCAAAGTAAATAGAAAAAGCTATGTGACAGGAACAGGAAGAGGAAAGTGTTTAGTGCAAGGAGACTCAGGAGATGAAGTTGAAAAGACAGGCTCAAGTAAAGTAAGGCTTGTACTATCTGGGGGAGATACCCCAAACACCACTGGCAATGGGGAACCCCTGTAGGTTCTTGAATAAGGGAGTGACATTATGGAATTAGCATTTCGGTTGGAAGTCGTATCATTTCCAACATTTATGATGAATCCTTGACTGTCTAGGAGAGAAGGACTGTCAAGTTTTTACCAATTAGTAAGAAAAATCCTTTTGTGGGAGCAGAAGGAAACTAGGGCACTGCCAGAGTCCTCTACCTATGATTTCAGTTTCTTCTAGTTGCTCTGACCCCCAACCATCCTCCGTGTGCGTTTCAATCATGAGTAAGACCTTCCATAACTGCTTGGCCCAAAGACAAGGAATTAAAACCTCCAGACTTACTCTTTAGTTAAATGAACACCTCCTTTCAAACCACTATTGAAGACACCTTTTCCTCTTCCTCCAGCTAAGATCTGGGCTTTTAAAACAATTTCTTTTGCATCTGAAAAAGAAAAATCCAGAGTTGGTAGCTGATTTTAAATTCCTTTTTTTTTTTTTTTTAAGCAACAAGGAAAGTAATAATGGCACATAACTTTCAAATAACTGGTAAAAGCTCTCTCAAACTAACTTTGAAAATAAATGCAATAAACAACTTCAAAGAAACATCAGTGTGCCTAAATACAAAGCTTGTTTACGGAGGATATTCAAATGCTTCCTACCAGTTTAATCATCTAATACTCCACCTTCCCAGGGGAAAGCAAGGCATGTGTTCCCTTGCTCTTTTGAGTGTGTCAGAAAAAGCTAAATAAATCCTTGAAGGAGGTATTAATTTTACTGTGTAATGGTACTCCCATGTGGCAGGGGCAGCAGTCGGCCAGTAAGAGGAGCTAATCATCAGAGATGTCAAAGGGAAGCCTGGATGACGTGAGGAAGGTTTAAAAGACAAGACGCAAAGGTCATAGTTAATAACTGCATTCTTGGAAACCAATAGTTTTCTGAGCAGTTCTTCTATATATTGATAGGGTTGGGCTAGGGAGGAGGAAATGGATTGAAACTAAAAGCATGCCATATTTTAAAATTACTGGCAAAGTTACAAAACATCCTAGTGGAAAGTGGTTGTGGACTCTTTGTTTCTCATCACACTCTAGGAATGAAAGAACTCTCTAATCTGGGCTTTTTAGACCAGAGTTATTAACACAAATATTGTCCCTTGCAGGAAAGTCGAGTGTGTGAAGTAGCCCAACGACAAATGGGGCCTTTAGCAAACAAGGTAGCTCCCCTCCCCAACCACACACACAAAAAAGAAGTCTCCAAATAAAACATACTTAATAAACCAAACAGCACACATCTGCAGACCAGAGCTGGTATCTTCCATTTATGAATCATCTTTGTTTAAAATTAGAGAGCCCAGTCAATCCTCTACAAGGATGTGAGAGGATTTTGGTTCAGTACACAAGATTTAGAATCTGCAAACCCAGGTTTCAATCTGGCCTTCATCCCTCACTCAGCTGTGTGACATTAGGCAAGTTACTCAATGTCTCTGAGACTCAGTTTATTCAACTTTGAAATGATGGTGACGATTGTTTTAAAAATTAAATGACCACACATGAATGCTTTATCCCAGAGCCTGAAAACTCATGGTTAATTAAAAACTATTGCCTCAACCAATTAGTGCATTTAATACCTTTGTATATTGTAAAGAATGATTATAGAGACGGCTAAACCAAAAAACTAATGTTTTGTTGGTATCTGCCACTGCTCAATGGAGCAAACACTCTGGTTATTTCAGCTATTACTGTCATTGTTATCATTGTTACTCACAGGCAAGCAGGTAAAGGTTCAAAAAGAGCCATGGAAGGTTTTACCATGAAGGCAATGGGGACCTACAGGAGTATTTTACACGGTTCAAGGCATTCAGCCAGCTGATGTTGTCACAACACTGAGGCTCATTCACTGTCTTCATTCCTTAGTCTTCTTGTCTCCTGTGTTTGCTTACACTCAGAAAGCTGAAGTCCACCTTTTTCTCAGAAGCAAACACAGTTCCTTCTTAGAAAGCTGTCCTCTGTACCCTCTGGCAATAATTTCTGCCCTGCTTACAAACCATCACCACATCGGTCAAGCCCTGTCTTACAATAAACTGGTTTCCATCACGCTGAGCAGAGGACAAGTTAATTATCAGAAACTCACAAGGACAGCAGCCAAGTAAAATGAATGCATTGCAGATTTGGGATACCGTAAGAACAGCAGTAAGAGCAAGGATATTGGGGTTAAACAGGCCTTGTTAAAATCTCCAACTTCACCTAAAATCTCCAACTTCACCTTTCTTCATAGAGAAGAAATGACTGAGATTCAGGAAGGTAAAAAGTAGCACGCACTTCTGTAAAGTGGCCATACTAAAGGAGTCTACAGTATAAGGATGATATTAAGAATAAATGAAATATAGTAGGTAAAGTGCTTGGCATATTTTATTAAAAGTCAAACTATGACAGCTATCATCATTATAATAATTTTCAGCAATTAAGAAAAAAATGCCACACAGGAAGACATTTCCTATTTTTCTTTGAAAGACATCAAGAGGAAAAAATATGTTTTGCTGTCTACCCATATTTTTAATTGTGATCACTTCAAATTCTTTAAAATAACTGGCATTCCTTTGCCATTATCATTTTTCATATTCTTGTCATCCCAAAGAAAGAGATGCTTTCCTCTCCGAACTTTTCAGCAGCAAAACTTGAAAGCCAGACAGAATACCTAATTGATCATTGTTAATTGGCACTACATAGGCTTGATGAGATCAGCTTTAGTCACTAACCGTCAAGACACAGAAACAGTTGTATGCTCAATGAAATGTTGTCAATTACACATGTCGCTATTTGACCTCCAGTCAAAAGGACTCCATGCCAAACATTAGGTAGACCAAGCGGCCAGTTCAGACACTCTGCAGCCATACATCAGGACACATAGAAAAAGACAACAATCTATGCACATCTGCAACCTACACTCCAGGCCAAAAATGAGTTCACTAAAATCATCTCTTCTGATTAGACCTCAAGTGCTAAGTCAATATAGTAAGTGAGCAAGCAGCAGCCCAAAGTTAAGCAAGTTTTTCTCATCTTAAGGAAAACTCTCATGCAGTAATTTAACCCAATGCTTATTTATTCAAGGTGCTGAAAATTAAGTACGGCAACTCAATCCTACTCAACAGTAACTTGTCTCTTCATTCAGTTTTTACCATACTGATTCACATGTACTAAGTGTCACTGTTTCTGTTTATTTAAAGATCTGATTTCTCCTAAAACCCAAATTTCCAGTTTTTGTTTTTTGTGTTTTTTGAACATTGCCTCTTGCCCCAATCCTGAACAGTATTAGAAAAAATAAATAAATAAATCCCATTCATGAAATGCAATTTTTGTCTGAAAAAGTGAGATGATTTAACCATCCTTTAGGAAAACAAGCTGAAAGGACAGAGGAAAAGAAATAACTCCAATAGTTTTTGTTTTTTTGTTTTGTTTCGTTTTTGTTTCCTGCAGCAGAGTCTCACTTTGTCACCCAGGCTGGAGTGGGGTGGTGTGATTCAACCTCTGCCTCCCAGGTTCAAGCAATTCTCCTTCCTCAGCCTCCAAGCAGCTGGGAGTACAGGCACATGCCACCAGACCCTGCTAACTTTTTGTAATTTTAGCAGGGACGAGGTTTCGCCATGTTGCTCAGGCTGGTCTTGAAATCCTGAGCTAAGGCAATCTGCCCACCTCAGTCCCGCATGCTAAGATTACAGGCATATAATAGGTTTTACATAGAAACAAACTGCAACCTAGACATTGATAACTATATTATTGGACTCTGAGTTGGTATAACTTGGGTCTGGATAACTCCAAAGTCTTTGCTCTTAATTGCTATTTTTATATGCAGTAGACTAAATATGCAATATCTTCACTAAATTTTGTTCCTTTCTTAGTGAATTTCTGAAAATAACCAGTACTCATGGGCTAGGTTTTCACTCAGTTCTAATAAACTGATTGGAACCAGTTTATTAGAATGTACATATATTTTAGTAGAAAACACTGTAAGACATATCTGACAAACTTATAAATATGTAAGACCCTCAAATACCATATCACTTAAGAGAACAATATTTAGAGTCATTTTTAAAAGTCTAAGCAAAACCTCACTCTATGGTCTTTTTTTAACTCTATTAGCTGAATTATAACAATGCTTTTTCAAATGTTTTCATTGTTTACCACAAGTATTATTCTAATTATAATACAGTTTTATGACAATTTTTATAGGTCCCCAATAGTCACAGGCTTGATAATAAACATTCTTGGAAGCAGTAGATCTAAAGAGAAAAAAGTCAATTCATTAAGAAAAGTAAAATCTAAATAGAGTACACATATTTAATTAAGCAAGCTCTGTAAAATGTGATTCACTTAATTTTCTTAGAGATGGCATTCTGAAAACATATTTACACAAAGTAATATTCACAAGACATATTTCAGAGCCACAATATGAATCATAGTAAATGTCTAAAATGTTAATCAAATATATTGATAAGAGTAAGTTATTTTCAACTATTTTTTTAAAGCAGTTCAGTGATGAATCCACTATTTGTATTACTGAGCTTTGCTCTTTTCTAAAATACAATACTTTCCTAAATGCTAAATGTATCGCTGATACTGCAATGAGATGACTACCACAATGATCATCTATTTGGAGTCAATAATATTGGACTTGTTGTGGAAACTGTTTCCTACGGTTCACTGACTGGAGCAAAATTGGAATATTCAGCTCTCGGCACAATTGCACTGTGTAATATACAGCATGGCAATCACCTTTCATGAGATTTGATAGAATTCCTAATTGAGAAAGTTAAACTGTATTTCAGTATTTCAGATTTACCTATTACCAGATGGAAAAGAGAAGGGAAAATGGAAGGCAAGAGAAGAATTGAGTATTACATAAATATAAACTTTAACAAAGAATATACAATTATACAGAGACAGGTTAGAGTCCTCGGTGCCAGTTTCCCTAAGGAAATGAGCCCACTTCTGTGTTTGTGTTATAACTTTAGAAGCCAAACAAAAACAGTTACCAATCTTCAATCATTACACATATTTCCTCAAGTTGAAACTGGGTCGATGGGAATAAGGTGATACTGTGATAATTGTATGTCCAAATGCATCTTTGAGACTGAAATAATTCTTTCAGCTTTCAACATGTCTGACATGGGCTTTTCAAATTTGGGACAGAGAATTTCAAACATACAAGACACTGGAATAAGCCATTTCACCACTGATCACATCACATGACAGAATGAAACTGGAGATACATGGTTCCCCAGTAGACTGCTGCCCATCAGAGATTTCAATCATGTATGTCTGAAACATCCACTTTCAAAGGTAAGTAAAAGACAGAAATAGGACCATCTCCAGGAAAAGGATTTTGTGATACAAAGAGGAAGTTATCCAGAGAGATATTATTTCAAATCAAGAAATCCTTAACGGATAA